TCTCTCTCTCTCTCTCTCTCTCTCTCTCTCTCTCTCTCTCTCTCTCTCTCTCTCTCAAAACACTATGTGAATGCTTCATCTTTAACCCACATTCCCAACACATTTCCAACAAAAAAATTTTTTGAGACAGTTTTGGTAAGTTACTCAAGCTGGCCATATGTGGCTCCTCCTGCCACAGCTGCCCAAGTAGCTGGGATTCTACGCATGTACCACCACACCTGGCAGTTCTTAATCATGAACCTGGAAAGTGAAGCAGCGATGCATGAAAAGGTTAAGAACACCAGCAGTGGCCTGTACTCTAAAGTCACTGGTAAACAGATATATAGTTACGAATTAATGTCAGAGAAGCCCTTTGAATTAGAATGAAGGAGAGATTGATTCACATAATGGAGCTTTGCTTGCCCTCCATGGTAAGAACTCTATGGATTTTAGGTATAAGGATAAAATACATCCAAGTTTCTTTGTAAAGACAATTATATACAAAATGAAGTTGTTTCTACTTTTTCTTGTACACCTCTGTATTCCCAGGACCAAAGAGAAGTACTAGAGAAACCAGAGGTCTAGAAAAAGAAAAAGTCCTGCAAAGTCTTCTGCCATGTTCAATTTGAACTATCCTTTGGATATGCCAAACGGCAACTCAGAACCCAAGTCTGAGTATTGACCCTGGTGCCCTCCCTCAAATCCACATCCTTCTGACCCCAGGAAAACAGTACTTACGAAAGCCGGTACATCAAGATGTTATATAGGCCCTCCCAGGAGAACCGGTCCCGGGGCACTGACACCAGGAGAGGATGCCCAAAAAGTATCAGACCGTAGTAGGAGTTGTTGTAGTCTCTGGATGGGGTGCGCTCCCGCAGGTAAACAGGAACCACAATATCATCTCTTGAACCCTCAACAGGGTCAATCCGGCCCGTCACCTCGTATCTGTGTGTGTGTCAGGGGAGTAGTTAGTTTTTTCTCGACTGAGGCATCCCAAGAAAGATTACCCATCACTTGCTCCCATCCGTTCATCTCAGTCCAAAAAACTGAGTTAGTTTTCATCTTTATTGTTAGTGTATGTTTGTATCTGTATGGGTACACATATGCTAGGATACACATGTGGATGTCAGAATGTATCTTTCAGGAGTCACTTCCCTCCTTCCATCATGGATTCAGGTTGTCAGGGTTTGTGGAAGTGTTTTTACCCACTCAGCCATCTTATCTGCCTCCCCCAAATAGTTTATCATTATTTTATGTGTAATGGTATTTTTGCCCGTATGTATGTCTGTGTGTCAAGTGTGTGCCTGAAAACTGCAAAGGTCAAAAGAGGGCATCTGGATGCCTGGGGCTGAAGTTACAGATGGTTGTAAGCCTTCATGTGGGTGCTGGGAAGTGAACCTGGATCCTCTGGAAGAGTAGGTAGCCAGCGCTCTGTCTAGCCTTGTCCAAAAATATTTTAAAGAGTCTGAAAATCCACTGGACAGTGGTGGCGCACGCCTTTAATCCCAGCACTCGGGAGGCAGAGGCAGCCGGATTTCTGAGTTCGAGGCCAGCCTGGTCTACAGAGTGAGTTCCAGGACAGCCAGGGCTACACAGAGAAACCCTGTCTCGGAAAAAAACAAACCAAAAAAAAAAAAAGAAAAAAGAAAATTTCCTCTCACAAACACCATTTTTAGTTGCCCCAAATTTAAAAACGATTGTGGGAAGCAGGGCATAGTTCTGTGGTAGGACACTTGCCCACTATGCAGGAAGCTTGGGTTCTAAATAAATAATGAATACATTTTTAACAGAGCACATTGCTGGACATAGTGGCACATACCTTTAATCCTAGCACCTGGGAGGGAGGCAAGGGAGATCTGTAAGTCTGAGGACAGCTACACAGAGAGACCATCTCTCTCTCTCCCTCATAATATGCATGCATGTATGTATGTATGTATGTATGTATGTATGTACGTGACATAGAAGATATATATAAACTATATTATATAGTTTTAAATATATATATATATGTATATATATATGTATATATATATATATTCATACTTATGAGTATATATATTGAACTGTAAGTGTAGCTCAAGTGTTAAGAGTACTTGTCTAATATGCTAGTGCGTTCTGGGTTCTATCCTCAGTAGGCAAAACAAAAGGTGGAGGGAACGTCCTCTATCCATTCCCATTGGTTTTCTCACTCACACAAAGATATCATCACGATCCAAGATGCCACTCAGAGGATCCTCCAGCTGGTAGAGCTTATAGAATCGGTGGCTGAAGACATCAGCTACTATCATCTGGGAATGGGACAGGGACATAGGAACAGACAATGTGCAAGATTCTTCCTTTAAACCCTACCTACCCAGCCTCCCTCTGCAAAGTCTCACCTTGTCTGGTGCAACACTTGTATGTGTAGACAGAGCCACACACAGGTCCGAGATATTGCCCTTCTTGGGGACTACAACCCGGTGCTGAGAGAGAAATAACATTAACAGATGATCAAAGGAGCTTATAGTAGGTTAATGTAGAAAAGCTTGAGGAAAGTAATCAAAGTCTGACTGCATGTCCCTCATTGTGTTCCCATAACCCCACCTGTTCTGGCTTGCGGCGAGGATCCATGGGGACAAAGAAGACCTCCAAGACCCTCCTGGAGCAGACAGGCAGTGGGACGCTGAGGTAGCAGAAGGGGTCAAAGGTCACAGAAACATTGCCACAATCAGGGCACACCAGTGTGGACTTGAAGAGTCCATGAAAAGTGTCCACAATCACAGAATCATTTCGTCGTTTGTGGTTCTGCCAGGCTTCCTGAGCCACTTCCTGTTGACAAGTACCACAGTGGGTTAGGGACAGAGGGAAAGATTTCGGGATGGACTCATAGGGGTTTGAGGTAAAGGACCCCACTGAAGCCTAGTGGCAGGGAGGGTTACAGCTAGGTCTAGAACCCATGTTCCCTGTCCGAGCTAGCATTATGAATGAAGGACAGGAGCCTGACTGGAGTTAACTCTGAGATAGCTATGGGGACAGATATAGTGCTATGACTGAGGTTGAGGTGAAGATCCAGGTACGGGAACTGAGAAAATGGTAAGGTGTCAGACAGACTGGGGAAAGCAGAGACTTTCTAAGGCAGCAGCCATATAGCTTTAATGGGTAGCCTACCAGATCAGGCCGCCCAGCACCATTGCATAGCTCAACATATTCTTTCGTTTTGACTCGATTGAGGTCTTCATGTAGCCCATCCAGGAGGAATGACAGTAGTTCCTGTGAGTCATGCTGCTGGTAGCCCAGAAACTGGGATGCGAAATGGCCAACTTTGTTCTGAAGAGACAGCAGATGGAAGAGTGAGCAGGAGATACGAGAAGCAAGAGAAAGGATGGCGGGAGGGAGCCCATGGGGTCGAGACGCACCTTGAACACATTGGGCACAATGGAGCGGTGGTAGCCAGACCAAGTCTGCTTTACCAGATCTGCATAGGCCTCGGCAAGCTCACCCTTCATGCCCAGAGGATTCCGGAAGTTGAGCTCCTCTAGGTAGCGGTTGTTGAGAAAGTACTCCGTAAGCTGTGGCACATTGCTCAGGCACTGTGGCAGTAGGGCCCAGTGAAAGAGGCAGAGGCGGGGTGAGGTGGCACAGGTGAGAACAGAAAAGGAAGAAGGGAGAGAGAGGGAAATGAGAGAGAGAAAAGGAAGGGGTTGGCATTGTGAATGCAGTATCAAGGAAAACATCAGTATCTCTGGAGGAGGAAAATGGTAGCACCAAAGGAAAGAAGGGAGAATGGGGAGCAAATGTGGGCACACCAAATCAGATTCATGGAGCCTGGGCTTTCCACCTGATCCCCTGAACTGTAATCTTTCTCCCACCATAACCCCCTAGCTCTGTCCCCAATACCTAACCACTTTAGCTTGCCAGACATAGACCTAATAGTCCAACCTGTAGGGCCGAGTTCATGAAGCACGTGTTGCCCAGATTGGTAAGGCCACAGATGCCTGGTTGACCCTGGAAGTCCTCATCTTCGTCCGGTATGTTGTTCCTGGGGTTGGATGAAAACTCTATGAGCTAAGGCCTACTATAGATAGGTGTTCTGTACTCATAGGTTCTGTCTGCGTACTCTGGGGTGCCCCCACTCTTCACAACACCCCAAAGGCTCACATGCCACACAGCTGAGCACTGGGCCAAGTGCCATCTTTGTTTCGGGTCTCCATGATGACCAACTGGGTATAAAGTAGAGAAAGAAAAAAGGAGTGTGTTAATGGAAGGCCTCAAGGGCACCCTGCCCTTCCCTAGTCTGACTAGTGCCAGGAATCCATCCACCTGGCTACCAGCACAGAGGAATCCTCCCCATTGTTACCTGCCCAGTCTCAAGGCAGGCATCAAGCAGTGTGATCTGTGTGTTGCACAATCGATCTAAAGAGCCCTCTGAGTTCTTGGTCCAGAGGCGTGTGTCTTCGTGAGGCTCTACCAGAAACTGCTCCCGAGCTGTTTGCAAGACTAGGTCTGTGGAGGGTGATGGAACATGACCATATCTTCTGGGACCCCAGAATACTCACCCATGTGATAACGTTAACTCATTCTCACAGACTTCGCTTACTTGGCCAATACCTTGTGTCCTCAGATCATTCTCCACACTTAGAAACTCAGAATTTGAGACCCTCCCAATAAACACTCTTTTCCACCCCCACCCAAGCAACTAGAATATAGCTCATTTTTTGTAGTGTCTATGCTCAACTTGGCCACCACCACCTTCCTCCACAGTTTGACTAGTGCCTTCTCAGGAGGCTGTAAGCTGATCCTCACACATCCTCAGGTCACTGAGATATGACCCATGATTAGGAACAAGAATTTATCCCAGAGGCCCTGAGACTCACCCACAGAATCAGTATAGCTAAACTGAATAGTGAGCGCTGTTTCCATATCACTGTGCTGAACAAGCAGAAGCTCTATTGGGTACACTTCCACCTTCCGAATGCCAGAAAGTTCTATGACCTGTGAAGGCAGAGGAGCACCAACACTCAAAAACACACCCAACTGACAAAGGAATACAGGTATATACAATTCTGGACCTACCCTGAACCTACATGGTCTTTTTCCTCCCCAACTTCCCAGAGAAATCTAACACACACACCCCTAGCATCTACTCCACCCATATACCTTGCGCTCAATAGGTGGCTGGCCATCCATTAAGCCATACCAGCTGACCAGGTAGTTCCAAGCAGGCGCTGGGAGCAGCACATAATCCTCTCCTTCTAGCAGTCTCTCCCTGAGGTGCCAGTTTATCTGATCTGCAGGCATGGGAGTACAGACGAGGCAAACCATGAATTAAGAAAGGAATTGTTAATTCTGGTCACCCTACCAATGACTAAGTATAGAGAATGGAAATAAGGCCTCTTGTGGGAACAGAAGGGATCAGAACTCCAGGGCAAGGTTAATGGGGAGAAGCAGAAGCTTGGTACCTTCAAAGAGCCCAGCATTGTTGATACAGCCAGGAAAGGTGCTAGCATCTTGATCTCCTCCCTTCACATACACCTCCCATTGTTTATACCAGTGCTTCTCCACAAGGAACCTGGAACCCAGACAGACAACAAGGATGTCATATGATTATTCAGGGGCTAGCTATACAACTTCTCGTCACTTGCAGTTACTATTAATCCACTGTAATTGAAGCAGAAATTTTTCAGCACTATGTAAATAGTAAGTAAAGCAAAATTTATTCCGTGAGATGCACATCTGAATATTGGATTACTCAATGTTTTTTCATTCACTTCCCTCCGTTTTTTTAAAATGAATTCTTCTTGTACCATCCAGTCAGGCCTGGATATGTATATGTAGCCAAAGCTCTCTGGTTCCTTCTGCTTCAGCTTCCTGAATGCTGGGACTAAAAGGTGTGTACAAACCCTCATGGCTGAGCTATGCTGAGTTTAGTTCAGGGTCTCTCTCTCTCTCTTTTTTTCTTTCTTTTCGTTTTTCAAGAGAGGGTTTCTCTGTGTAGCCCTGGCTGTCCTGGAACTCACTCTGTAGACCAGGCTGGCCTGGAACTCAGAAATCCGCCTGCTTCTGCCTCCCAAGTGCTGGGATTAAAGGCGTGCGCCGCCACTGCCCGGCATCAGTATCTCTTTTTAGACACGGTTTCACTACATAGTCCTGGCTGTCGGTGAACTGGTTGCCTCAGCCTCCATGCTAGGATTATAGACATATATCACACTTGGCTCTGTATTTCTGTGTTTGGATTTTTGGGGTATGTCTGTACATTGTTCTCCCCATTCCCCAGACCCTAGCATATAACTTATTCCAGGAAAATATACATTCCCACCTAGGAGCTCATGCCATAAAAATCTATCATTCAACCTATCAACTCCTACATTTTCATTCCTCCCTCCAGTTTTACTGGCCTCTACAGTTTATGAAGTTCACTTAATAAAGCTAATTTATAGTTAATAGTATTTTCAATGCAAAGGGAGGCACTGCTCAATTACAAATATTAGGGCCGGGCGGTGGTGGCACGCGCCTTTAATCCCAGCACTTGGGAGGCAGAGGCAGGCGCATTTCTGAGTTTGAGGCCAGTCTGATCTACAGAGTGAGTTCCAGGACAGCCAGGGCTACACAGAGAAACCCTGTCTCGAAAAACCAAAAAAGAAAAAATTACAAATATTAGTTTCTGGTTTGTTTTGTTTTTTTAAAGACAGGATTTCTCTACACCAGTCTTGGCTGTCCTGGAACTTTCTCTGTAGACCAGGCTGGCCTTGAACTCAACAGAGGTCTGCCTGCCTCTGCCTCTCAAGTACTGGGATCAAAGATGTGGCCACCACTCCCAGCTAAGATTTTATTCAATTATGTGTAACCCTGTGTGTCTGTGGATAGAAATTTGAACTTGAGTACAGGTACTTACAGAAGCCAAAGGCTTCAGATTTTCCCTGGAGCTGGAGTTACTACAGGCAATTGTGAACTATCTGACTTGATTGCAAGAATAGTAGTATACCCTTTTAATCACTAAGCCATCTTGCTAGCCCTTCACCCTCTTAAAAGCAGATTTTTAAAAGAAAATTAATATTAAAATCATTCTGTAGCAAAACTTCTTTAGGATGGGGATCTAGCTTAGTAGTAGACTACTTATCTAACACATAAGAGGTCTTAAATTTAAATTCACACACACACACACACACACACACACACACACACACACATACACCAGGTACCACAGCACTTGGGAGGCAGGAAGATTACTTTGAATGTGAGCCCAGTCAGGGCTAGAGACCTAATCTCATACAAACAGGGGGAAAATAAATGTAAATACCACTCTGGGACAGCTTGAGAACAAGGTAGTTATTGACTCAGGGCAGGCTGGGATTTTCAACACAAGGTCACTGATGACTGTTACCTGGTTAGAAAGAGTTAACATTTCCTACCATAAGCCGCAACTACAAATGTTCCAGGGCACTGCATCACTGAAACATTGCTTAACTACCTGCACAGAACACCCCTGCCTCAACAAAAGCCATCTCTTGCATAATAAATTCTCTCTCTTTTTTTTTTTTTGGTTTGGTTTTTTGAGACAGGGTTTCTCTGTGTAGCCCTGGCTGTCCTGGAACTCACTCTGTAGACCAGGCTATCCTCAAACTCTCGAACTTAGAAATCTGCCTGCCAGGCCGGTCGGTGGTGGCGCACGCCTTTAATCCCAGCACTTGGGAGGCAGAGGCAGGCGCATTTCTGAGTTCGAGGCCAGCCTGGTCTACAGAGTGAGTTCCAGGACAGCCAGGGCTACACAGAGAAACCCTGTCTCGAAAAACCAAAAAAAACAAAAAAAACTCGAACTCAGAAATGCGCCTGCCTCTGCCTCCCAAGTGCTGGGATTAAAGGCGTGCGCCACCACCGACCGGAAATAAATTCTCTTCTTGTGCCTTTTCCTGTCTTGAATTCTTTCATTATTCATATCCCCACCATCCTGCACAATTAAAAAAGCTTATAGGTGATAAACATAATATTGCTTTATCAAATTTATTTAAATAAGTTTAAATACACATAAAGGCATACAAGTGAGTTCTTTACTGCCCACTACCCTGTGGCCAGTACACTCAAAGATGATTAGGATTTGGATCTTCTGTATAAACTTACTATAGGAACTTGGTTTTTGTCACATTATTACCAATTCTTAGTGCTTTCTTTTTATAGTTTTAATAATGTATGTGTGCCTGTAAGCATGTGCATTTAATTGCAAAGGCCCTTGGAGGTCAGAAGGCATGAGATTCCCTGGGGCTAGAGTTACAGGTATTTGTTGGCCATCCATTCAGGTGTTCAGAACCCAACTGGGTGTTGGGCCCTCTGGAAGCAGTATGTATTCTTAACTGCTGAATCATTTCTCTTTTGTTTGAGAGAGAGCACCACTATGTAGCCCTGGCTGTCCTGGAACTCATTACTTAACCCAGGCTGGCCTAGAACTCACCTGCCTTTGCCTCCAGAGTGCTGGAATTAAAAGGATATACCATGAATGTCTGGCTATATACTCCATTCATCATCTTGTTGTTGAGACAAGATCTTACGAAGCCCAGGCTGATCCTGAACTATATAAAGATGGCCATAAGAACCTAATAATCTTTACCACTATGCTCTTATAAAACTAACTTTTTTGTCTTGCTTGTAACATTTTTCTTTTGAGACAGGGTTTCACTTGGTAGCTCAGGTTACATGAGGATTCATGTTGCCCTGGATGGCCTCAAACTCAGGATCCTCCTGCCTTACCTTCCCAAGTGCTAAGATTTCAGATGTGTATTATGCTCATCTTGTTTTCTAAATATTCTTCCATGGCTGGCGTCAACCTTGCTGCAATCCTCCTGTTTCTGTCTCTTAAACGCTGAAATCAGACAATTGAGTCACCAAGCCCACATCTAAGCACTGTTGCTCTGTTTTTCCAAACTTAAGACAATGACACTGTAAAAATGTCAATTATCTCTGGGAGATAACATAAGGTTGTTTTTCTCCCATCAAAGGGCAACAGGACTAATCATATAGATCTAAAAGTGTCCAGTTGAAACAGGGACTCAATCTGTATGGGCTAGAACTCACTGTGTAGATGACCCTTTGCCTCCAGAGTGCTGGCATCAAAGCCATGTGTTACCACACCTGGGAACTTTTTAAAAAGCTTTCACTTTTCCAACTTTTTTTGAAACAAGTTCTCATGTAGCCTACTTTGGCCTTGGCTTTCTGATCCTGTGTACTACCTCTCTAGTGCTGGGATTAAGGGCCTGGGATATGTGTCGCCATACCCAGTTCTTCCTAATATTTTTGAAAATGAGAAATCAAAAAAATGCACTTTAGAGCCTGGGTTAACAGTCTGAGATCTCGAAGAACAAAAATAAAAGCTTATCTTCCTCAGCTGTGTGGAATATGCTACTGTAAATATCTTTCAGCAACACTTCTTAAGGTCCTATGAAACGGGTTTCTCTTCATGTACTGTTAGTGCACCTCTCTAATCCTAGCTACCCTTCTTCCTTAAGAACTTCACAGTTGTTTTCTGTTACAAGTTGTCTGTACCCAGTACAGATCTAACCAAAGTCTCTCAACTATCCTTGATTTAAATGTGTAGACAATTCATTGCCACAAGAACTAAAACTTTCTAAGGAAGCTGTCTTTTCAGAGATTGGAACGTGGTCTCAAAACATAAACTTTTGCCAGGCAGTGGTGGTACACACCTTTAATCCCAGCACTTGGGAAGCAGAGGCAGTCGGATTTCTGAGTTCGAGGCCAGCCTGGGCTATATAGAGAAACCCTGTCTCAAAACAAAAACAGACAAACAAACAAAAAACCAAAAAAAAAAAAAAAAACCAAAAAACCGAACAACCAAAAAAAAGAAAAAAAGAAAAAGAAAAAAAAACCCATAAGCTTTTTAGGGGCTGGGTCAAGTGCTTGCTGGGTTTGGATCCTCTTATCTACAAAAAAAAAAAGCTGAGCAAAAAGTCTGGCACAATTCAGATGGTGGTGGTGCACACCTTTAATCCCAGCACTAAGGACCCAGAAGCAGGTGGATCTCTGTGAGTTCAAGGCCAGTCTGGTGTGTAAAGTGAGTTCCAGGACAGCCAAAGCTACACAGGGAAACTTGGCATGGTGGTAATCTCAACACTTGAGGGGGACATGGAGACAAAATATCAGAGGTTTGCTGGCCAGTCTAAAACAGAGCTCGAGCTTCAATGAAAAGCCCTGTATCAAAAACTAAGGTGGATAGGATAGTACAGTAGGTAAAGGTGCTTCCAGCAAGTCTGGGGACCTGAATTTGATCCCCCAGGAAATACAGAGAAGGGAACTGACTCCTGCAAGTAGTTTTCTGGCCTCCTCAAGCACGATGAGTCACATAGTGTACCCCATCCCCAAATAAATGCATCTCAGAAATTTAATCAGTAAGGATGACTGAATTAATTAACTGGAATTGTTTTAATCTGCTATTGAACTAAGGATGGGAGGTGCAGATAATACTGACAGTTGTATGATTTAAAGCTAGTCCTTGAATTCAAATGCTTTATAAATACATATTTCTCAACTATGACAGCAAACCCATATAGAACTTTGAGATACTTTGCTCTTACCAAATTTAGTTAAGCATCAAAAATTGGAGCTTGGCAAAATGCTTCATAGGAGAAACAAATTGGCTTTAATAGTCAACCAACACTGGTGTGGTAATTGTTTTTTAATGAGATGAAGTTAACATAAAATTACCCCATTTTAAAGTGAACAATTAACGTTTAATACATTCACAATGTTGTGCACCTACCACCTCTACTTACTTCCAGAACATTTCCCTCACCCCAAAGAAGATTCTCTCCTGGCAGGCTAATTTAAAAGGCTATTGGTAAGGATGACAGGATCATGTGTTATCTACCAATAGCACAATCATGACACATCTGTCAAGCTAGGAAAGAGGAATGAACCAAAGTTTTGAGAACTATCTTCACATCTCCAAATGAGGTATAAAAACAGTCTGGTTACTGTTTGTTTTCAGGATGGATTGAGGCTAGTCTTTGCTGGAGAACTATGATATAATGGCAGAAAGACATCACTATATTCTGTAGCTTTGGAATTGTAATTTATCTCCCCAGTAATGTATACACACGTCACTGGCAGCGTTGTTCAGAAACTCTGTAAAGTGGGAAAACCTGGGAAAAGTCGTAAATGTAAAGAACAGCAGTAGTCTAATGTGGATGTCCCTGATGGAGAGAGGTAGGGGCTGGTGGGCTGATCAGAGATCAGAGAAATGTTAGAATGGAGAAAGGATACCAGCCTCCAAAAGCCTTGCAGGTCACTTAGGATTTTACCATTTATATTCCATGAGACAGGAAGCTTTGGACATCCTGGGGAACAGATGGACATAAAATATAAATAAAAATTTAAATATGTATTTACAAATTACTGCTTAGTAGAACAGCATCTTATCATTTGAGAAACCTGGCAGAGTTATAACCAACAGATAAGGTTAATGTCCAAATTACATCATGTATGTATATATATATTATATATATGTATGAATATTGGACATTTATTATAACGAAATGTGAAAAGAGCACTTTAATTCAAAATTTAAGGCAATAGTTTCCTATGAAGATGGAGGGGAATTTCTATCTGGGAAAAGCATACGACATTTTTAAGGTAATGTTCTGAATCTCCACATGAGTGATGAATCCACATATAAAATTTAATAATTTTTCTTTGAAGTAAACTCACTGAAAATGGGTTTTAAAAAAGCCAGGCATGGTGGAGTATGCCTGTAATCTCAGCCAGATTTCTGAGTTCAAAGCCAGACTGGTATAGTAATCTTCCTGACAACCAGGACTACATAATAGAGACCCTGTCTCTAAAGAGGGGGCAAAATTATATAAAAACTTCTCTGTATACCCTTAGATTCCCCAAATCTAACACACTTTATCTTCTTATTCTATTTATTTTCCCCATATCATTTTTGGAGGAATTTTCATTATGTTAAACTAGACACAAAAGTGTGCATTGATGGTATATAGCATGATGTTTTGATATATACATTGTAAAACACTAAATCAAACTACTTAACATACCAATTATGTCAGTTTTTTTGGGAGGGGAGTAAGAACATGTAAAATCTATTAAGCAATTTTCATGTATAGAATAGAATGTTATTAGCTATAATCACCATTTTGTACAAGGGAGCTCTTGAATTTGTTCCTCTTGTCTAACTAAATTTTGCATCTTATGTTCAATATTTCCATAATCTTCTCTCTCCCATGTGCATTTTAACATAAGATAGCTTTTCAATTTGGTAAGTTGTTTACACAATGGTTCCTTATCCCTAAATTTTCAGTATGTATTTTTCACCAAACAAGGGATATTCTTTCATAACCACACTAAAATTATCACAAACAAGAAATTATCAGTACCAATATTTTATCTACTGGCCTTAGTAAAATTTCACCTATTTTTTTCCAGTAAAATTTACAGTGAAAGAGAAATAAATTATGAGAAAGAACCCTCATTTTTAAAAAATAATTTATTTTTCCTGTTCTAGGTTCCAAATGAGGATCACGTGTTGCATAGACTTGTTAAACTGCAATAATTCCTTCAATCTGGAACAGTTCTTCAGCATATGTCTTTCACGACCTTGCCATTTTTGAAGCATACAAACCATTTCTTTCAGCAGGATGTCCATCAATTTATGTAAAACATTTACTACTATAATCTTTGTAGGTCTTACGATTTTCACAATTTAAAAAAAACGAGAAGCAACTCAGAAAGAAATAGGAACCCGGGGAGCAGTAAATTTTAAGAGGCATTGATTAGTATTTTTTAAAAAAAAAAATCGGTCTAATAAGACAATTTGTCAAAAGCTATGGCTTCTTTTTAAATAGCCATTTCTACTGATTACAAAATATCACGTAGAAAAAAAAATTTCCCAAATAACCTTTTGTAAACCACCTGCACTTTTTCCTGTTCTAGGAAGGAGACCTTAGCTAGAGGAGGAAAACAAACAATAAAAAGCAAAAAAAAAAAAAAAAAAAAAAAAAAAAAACCGCGTCATAATCTTTGCTCTTTTGCAGGCGCCATTTTCTGCCCCAGGCACTGCCCCTCCTCCACAGTTTGCCCCTCCCCAGACCTCCTTCTTGTTCCCAGGAGTCAGGCACCCTCCCCACACCACACTCCTCCGCCCCTCAGCCCACAGCTATAGGCTATGGAGATGCTCTTCAGCGGACGCCACCAAGCTCGTCGGGTTCACGGGCGCTTCGAGTACTCGTAGGCCGTTCCTTGCAACCGACGCAACGTTTCGTAACACACGCCACGCCCCCGCGTTAAGTATGGAGCCAGCCTCCTTTCCAGGCTCCTGGTTCCAAGACGCAGTCACCTCTCACCCCCTCCCCAAACGATGCAGTCCCGACTCCCGTGGCCTTTGCCTCCACGCCCCACCTCTACCACAAACCCCATTTTGTCCTCACGAGGCTAACTGCCCCACTCGGGCCCCGCCTCTTCCCCCAAGGTTGAGATTCATTCACTTAGCACCTCCACGCCCCCTCTCTCCCGCCGGCCCAAGCCCCTTCCCCGCCTCGTCCAGCTCCTTCCTCTGAATTTGGTTTCTAAGTCCCCCGCGATACTAACGCTCCCACGGTCCCCTTGGCCAAGGCTTCATTGAAGCCCAGCCTCACCAGCTTTCGCCAGCTCGCAGTGGACGCTCTCGCCCATTCCCGATTTGGCGCCACTGTTCATCCAGGTCTGGCATTGCCTCGGGCTGTGTCTCTCTGTCCTCAGCAGAGGCCTGGCCGGCAGCTGCAGCTAGGTTCGCTGCGACCGCCGCCATCACCGTCCGTCCTCCTCCAGCTACCGACGCAACTGAAGATAGGAAGACGACCCTCAACTGGCACTTCCGGATTCTGTCCCGGAAACGGAAGCAGAGCCCCCCAACAACCAGGGGGCTACTGCCATCTTGGAAACGTCACAGTTTGGCGGAAATTGGGTGGTGGTCTGTGGTCTCTGCAACCAATACCGGGGGTTAACCTTCTAGTTTGGAACGAAGACTTTAGTGCCTTGTGGAATTCTTTAACACCAGGTGAAAAGGTCTTATTAAAAGGTGGAGGCCAAAGGTTTCCAAAATGAGCAAATGTGTGTGTAGGTCCTCACAAAGAATACTTACGGCAAGTCTCTGCCCCTTTGACTGCAAACTCCTGTGAAAGCGGCATTTTTGTTAGCCTAACTAGAATTGTCTTTCATTGCACTACCTTTCTCATCCATCAAAGAGATGGCTCAGTTAAGGGCACTCTTTGCTCTTACAGAAGATAGGAGTTCAATTCCCAGGACCCATATGGTGGCTGGCTCACAACCATCCATAACACCAGTTCCAGCGGATCAGTGGGAATGTACAAGGCACACATATATGCATACAGGGAAAACATTTTTATATATATGAAGTAAAATAGTTTTTTTTTAAACTTGGACTTTACCACCTCCTGAGAGCCTGAACTACAGTGTGCCTGCGTGTGTGTCTCCATCTTTTCTGTATTTAAGGGCCTTGGCTAAATTTCCTAGATTTCCTCCAACTCTATGAAGCCCAGGCTGGCAACTGATGTGCCTTGATCCTCCTGCCTCAGCCTCCAAAGTGATGGCTTACAGGCATGCACTTGAACACTCAGATTCCTGAACTAGAGTTACTCACCAGAGAAATCTGATGTGTTTGTTGAAGGCATAACAAATAGTGAGTCTGCCCAGTTTAAGTGACTTGTTGGACTTAAATAGTAGCCTTGGGTGGCAGATAATTTTTTTTTTTGCTTGCCCATGAGTAACAATTCAGGAATCAGAGAGCCAGAAATGTGAAATCATTTGTCCTTAGCTAGGATGTGCCATAGCACTGCAGACCTAGTTCCAGAGCTTTGTCCTTAAACAACAGGCAGATCCTCAAACTCTGGTCACATGCTATCAGCTCAGGAAGTCCTCCCAGGAGGTTTCACAAAATTAAGACTATTTCTGCATCATCTCCACTCTCGTTTTCATGTGTGGAATTATTCAGAGGGTATCTTGGAATAAGCAAAAATGCATTGTGTGTCCTCCATCTTTAATACAAAGGAAATCTGATGCCAAACATGTGAGAACCATTGAACCGGTGTTTTTTGAAATAGGGTCTCAATTCTGAACATGAAGCTCAGATTGGCCTTTAACTCTTGGTGATCCTCCTGCCTTAGCCTTCCAAATGCTAGTACAGGCTACAGGTGTACCAGGCTCTATGTCAGACTTCAGCACTACTCTAATTTCTTTCTTGTGAGAAGCAGCACTTTGGGGTAATAAGCTGTTCCCTGATCTCTGCTTCTAGAAAATGGTGGCAACCCTCAGAACAAAGGCTGTGTATCACCAGACATTACCACATTACTTAAGTGTGGAGATTGTCTCTCTGGCTGAGAAGCATTCTATTAGGGTGTTTCCTTTTTCTTTTTAGGCTCTCAGTTCTACTGGTCAGTGATGACTTTCTCTGTATTTCTCCACTTATCTTTCTTTTGGCTGTTCTTGCCTGTTGACAATCCACAAACTCCCCAAAATCATGACTTTAAGGCTAGTTTAGTGATTACCTTAACTATTACCAACTACGCACAGACAAGAACAAACTTCAAGTCATGCCTCCCTATACCTATATAAACCCCTGTGCATACAGGTCTGCTTGCACAATTCAACCCTCCTCCCTCTCACATGATCTAATTTACCTCTTATTTTCAGTTTGCTTCTATAGGGAGTTTGACTTTAAAGTAGTGCTGAGGTGTCTGTTACAGTGATTCTATCATCTAACCCCAACCTGATGCAGATGAGGTCACAACTTAGTTGTATGAGCCCTGAAGGAAAAAGAGTAAACTCTTTTAACTTGATCCCCAACCCCCAAAGACTAGTGTAGAAATGGAGTTTGGCACAAGCGAATAGCTGCTCTTTAAGCCCATCTTCATTGCACTCTGTTCATCCCCATTTAGCTTTCCTCCCCATCCCTAATGCTGCTTTCTTCACCTTCCAGAGGGCCATCTCTGCAGAGAATAGGAGGACATAGGAATTTGTGGACATCCTATCCATTACAAAACTGAAAGAATGATAGGAATGGGAAGACGCCCTAGGGGTTTTTTTGTTTTGTTTTGTTTTTTGAGACAGGGTTTCTCTGTATCAGTAGCTTTTCTGGAACTCACTCTGTAGACCAGGCTGTACTTGAATTCAGACATCTGCCTGCCTCTGCCTCCCAAGTGCTGGGATTAAAGGCGTGTTGCCATCACCAAAAATAGGCTGTCCTTTTTCAACCCTGGGACTAGACAGCCACTGTGGCACATTGTAGCTCCAAATTGAGATTTCAAAGTGTTTACAAGGACACAGTGATAAAAGAGGTTCATTAGGTCACTACTGCTGTACTTCTATAAACAGCCACTTAAGCTTGCTAATATTTGCAGACATATGTGGAGGCCAGAAAACATATGCTGTCAACCTCAATTGCTCTCCATCTTATTTTTTGAGACAGTCTCTCTGAACTTGGGAGCTCACCAATTCTTTACACTGGCTGGCCAGAAAGCTCCGGGGATCCTGCTGACTCCACTCCCCAGTATTGAGATTACAAGTGGCCCCCCCACTCCTTGTCTTTCAAGACAGGGTTTCTCTGTATAGCTCTGGTTATCCTGGAACTCACTCTATACCAGTCTGGCCTCAAATTCAGAGATTGTCTGCTCTTGCCTCTTCAAGTGCTGGGATGCATCACCACCCTTTGAGCCTTTAAATGAGTGGTGGTGACCTGAATTCAGGTTTTCAAGTTTGCATTCTCCCAAGCTTAGGTTGTTTCAAAATTCACCATGCAGATGACTTCAAGGATTTTTTAGAAACCAGTGTAAACTGGCTCTACGGCCTCACTCTGAACTTCTGTAAGTCTACTAGATTCCTTTATGTGGTCAAAACCCTACTCTCAAGCCTGGCAGCGGTGGCGCACGCCTTTAATCCCAGCACTTGGGAGGCAGAGGCAGGCGGATTTCTGAGTTCGAGGCTAGCCTGGTCTACAGAGTGAGTTCCAGGACAGCCAGGGCTACACAGAGAAACCCTGTCTCAAAAAAACAAAAACAACAACAAAAAACAAAACCCTACTCTCTCTCTCCAATTGACCTCTTCATTTTGTCAGTTAGACTGGACCTTTCTGCCTCATATCACTCTGGATCTACTGGGCCTTCCAACTTTCTTCAAACAGCTTTTTAAAATACATTTCCTGTCTCCATCTTCTCAGGCTTGTCCACAATGCTAGATAAATCTAACTCATCTATGCTCAATGCTTGCTTCCCATTAACATAATTAACTCCACCCTACTGCTTCAACTCATCCTACCATTCTAAGTGCAATCCCTCTAAAGTTTTTATCCCCCCTCCCAGTCCCACACTTCCAACCAACTCTTCCCCAATATTCTTAGTTGATGGGACCAGGAATGGATGGATTCATGAAGGTCCCAGTGATCACCATAGCTTGAGCCTTCTTGTCTTTTTGATGATTTACAGCCAGACTTTTCACTTTAGACTTTTTTTTTTAATATTTCATACAGCGATTATGGTGCATTCAGGAACCCAATCCCTCCAAACCCCACTAGGAGGGCACCCTCCCTTGCCCTCCCACCTCGCTTAAGGGTCCCAAGGCTTAAGGTGGAGGAAGGGGAACAAACCATCCATCCAGGAGACTGTCCCTGGCCTGCCTTACCCTCCTAGGGAGTGGGGTGTAACAATTGAGCACAAGCTCCTACATGTCCCCCTGCTTGTGCACATATACATATTATATATGGCTCCTCACTAAGTTGGTCAATTCCTGGCAGACCCTCTACTCAACAGCACCGAGTAGGACAGGGCAGGAGGGCTAGGCAGAGCTGGGTTGGGGAAGACCCTGAGAAGGAACTCATGGCTGGCTACAGGACTGAAGGAGGGAAAAGTAGGCCTCCACCATGTCCATCTCCCAGTCTCTGGTAGTTCTCAGGTCCCCCATAACTGGGGACACTAGGTAGGGGAGGAAGGTGAGTGGCTGAGGCATGCTTTCCCACAGCCAATCCCAGGGTCTAGTGATGGTCAGGATCTGAATAGGGTCTGGGTCCCTACCTCTCAAAGGCTGGGAGTGGGACTTCATTGCACAAAATACTATAGGAGGGCCACACTCAGGGAGTAGCGCCCAACCAATCTGTATACAGAGATATTGCATTAAAAGTGAGAACCTCATTTAAAATAATAAAAAAAAAAACAATAAAAGAAACTAATAAAAAAGAAGGCCCATACAACAGAGGCAAGTGGGACAGGTTGAGAAACAGGCAGAGGATGCCCCAGACCCAAGGCATCACTACCCTCTAGTCAAAGTCGATTGAGAGCCTGGCCTGGGTTAGCTCCAAACCCCTGGCTGGCCATGGGGTAGTGGTCCTGGGAGAGAGTGTGATGAAGAGGGGAAGGCCTAGCCTTAGTGTGGAAAGCTGGCACAGCCATTCTGTCCACCAGCAACTACCAAGAGAGAGACAGACACATCAAGCAAAGTAGTGGTGAGAGCTTTGTTAGCACCCAGCAGACAGGCCAATGGTTGGGTTGACAGGCCAGTGGTTGGGTTGACAGGCCAGGCCAGTGGTTCGGTGTTTGGGCAGGTGGCAGGGGACAGTTGGCAGGGGAGTGTGGCTCAGGCAGGTAAGCAGGCAACAAGCAGGGAGGATTGCAGATGGGGGCTGCCCTGTGAGGGGTGTGGCATCCCTCCAGCCGCTGCCTGCTGGGGCCTTGGTCTGTGGCTTAAAACTTGGCTTAGAACTCGGTATCCACCACACGGAAAGCTGGCCTGCCTGCGGGGGAAAGCAGAGTGAATGGCTGTTAGTGGGCAAGCAGGTAGGTGGACAGAGCAAGAGA